GGGTGCGGGGTGCGGGGGTGTTGGGGGCGGGGGTGCGGGGTTGGGGCAGGGCCGGGGTTGATTTTGCGGGGGCGGGGGTCGGGTAGCCCCGCGGCGGGGGTCCGTGGTTGAAACCCCTACCCCGGCTTGGGCCCCGGGGATCCCCGCGTGACAACGCTGGGCACGGCCCTGCCTGCGCGCGTTCCCGCATACGCCTTATCAGCCCCCGCTCTCGCTCATAGTAGGCTTCCTCATCCTCCGTGACAAGCACCGGGACCGGGCGGCACTTCTTGTCTATGGTCTTGTACCGCCTTTGGGAGCCCTGCTTAAGCCCTCCCCTAAAAAAGGCCGACTTGTTGTTCGGGCCTGGGCCATCGCAGGGTCCCCTCTCCTCCCAGGAAGCCGATATATCAGCTCCACTTCTCCCACCTGAGTGCTTTTCAGGACCTGCTCCCTCAATGCCTTTATGGCTTCCAGGTCCGCCATATCGTGCGCCGCCACCACCTCCATTGCCTTATTCACATCGTTAAGGCTCAGGGACAGCACCTCGCCTGCTCCTTCCCCCTCCTGTTCCTCCAGGAGTCTCCGTCGCGCGTACTCCGACTCCTCGAAGGTAAAGGAGCCGAGGTTGAGCCTATTCCTCGCACTTCCGGGCCTTGTGTTCTGGCACTTGATGATTTCGTATTTTCCGCAAGTCGGATCAATAGAGCCAGGATTATCGTCCCCTCATGCATGTTGAAGACCAAGGTCTCCGTCCGGCAGAGGAACGACCTCCCCAGAAGAATAGGGTGGTCGACAACGGGCATGACGAAGAAGGACGTTCGCGCCCTTACTCTCCCAATCTCCACCATCACATTAGACGCGGTGCCGCAAAAAATGACCTTATAGTTGGCGCCATGCAACACGCCATGGTCCGAATGGTCGACCTCCAACCCCAACATGGTCGCGTCCCGCTCCCGGATGATATTCATCTCCGCGCCCGTGTCCACCATTGCGATGCTCGGCTGGTCCCTCACCTTCAAGTCCACCAACCCACACGCCACACATTTCCAATCCATCCTGGTGCCTGCCTCTGTCCACTCTATCTCCCCAGGTAGAATTGAGCTCAGGTGGACATTGGGCACTAATCTTCGCGAGAGCCGCCCTTTCAGCTCATCACGGAGCCTGGGTGCCGAGGCCAAAATGTCCTTTAGATTCATCAAATCGTTATGGCTTTCCAGGAGCTTGTCCACCATTCGCTCCACATCAAAGCCTTCCTCCAGCCGGACCGCGTACTTTTTCCTCTTTGGCACGCCATCATACAGACTCGGCTCCGCCCCTCCCTGAGCCCCTCTCTTCTTGGCGCTCTGTTTCGCCCTTTGGTCCTCCTCCTGCCGGAGCCTCTCGTCCTCTTCGTCATCACCCTCATCTTCCTCTTCTTGAACCTCTACCACTTCCTTCCTTCGTTCAGGCTCAGGGTCCTTTCGAGGGGGCGTCCGACTGGGTGCCTGGTTAGGCCCTTGACTGGTGGTAGCCTTACTTTGGCCCCTAGTCTGCGCGGCCTGATGTACCCTTTCATGCAACGTAGGGGGTCTGAAGGTCATCCCTGACCTAGGACCTGCCCCGACCGTCGCCACGCTTGGACATCCTTGTGGTCCTGACGACGACTCCGGACCGGACCCATAGAGCATCACCTCAGGAAGGCTCATTTCCCATTCTCGGGCCTTTTCACACATTGCCCTTAGTCGTTCCTTATACCTGCCGACCTTTGCAAGTAGGTCCTCCATCCTCTCCAGGATGGTCGAGGCTGACTCTCTCACCACTTCCTGCGCCTCATCGTCAGACTCAACAACTATGGGCTCCTCCTTTATAGCCCCCGCCTTCAACCACTGAGTTACTTCCTCATTTTCATTCACAATCTCCTCGACTCTTACACCGGGGTCTTGCCTTTCCTGCCATATCCTAAACACTGTTGGGGCTGCTGGAGGCCCGGCCGCTGCCCCCCTGAGGGCTTCCTGCCTGATTCCTCCACGGGTCTTGGGGTCAATGTGTGTTCCCCACCGATCGTATATATCCCCGTCCATACAGGTGGAGATTAATCCTGCCTTTTCGTCGTCCCGCCGCTGTTGGTAGAATCGTACGGTGTGGCCCACCTCGCCACAATGCCACGGACTACAACGTCCAACCATAAAAATCTCTAAGAAGCAACAAGACTCGCACGAACCCAAGAAGAGGGGATAGGGCTAAGGTCTCCTGACCTTTAAAACAAAAACTCATGGCCTTGGGACACACTTCCCCTCCGTGGGCGGTGCCGGCGGCCTACAATAATCCCAAGTGCTGCGCCTACGCGCAAACCCGGCGGTCCCATAACTTTTAGACGCCGGGGTGGCGAGGCGCCGCGCGCAGGGTTCTGGTATAAAACTGCGCGGCCGCAGGCCAACCCTATGCCAACCACTGATGCCAATCATATGTGGTAACCGCGGCTTCGGCCTCACGATATTGAATGGATGAAGGAACTCATCGCGGTGGGGGTTACCCCTCATGATATTGAACAACTAAAGGACACGCCGTTCGGCCCTTGCGACATTTCTGCTTTTCAGGCGGGGTGTCCCGCCGGCCAAAATAAACAGGCTCTATGCAAGGGGGGACTCCTCCCCTTCAAGGCCTAGGGCTTGGGATGTCCTGGACAAGGACCTCGAATCCTGGCCCAGGACCAACGTCCGACTAAGAAAGCCCCAAGGCGCAAATAGGCAGAAGGAAGGGTCTTTTCTGTCCCTCAATCCCAACTCTCACGCGGTTGTTAACATGGCCTCTTAGGCTTCCCGAACACTCAGCATACGTATATCCAGGCATACATACGGAAGGAGAATAGAGTTATGACGATCACTTCTCACAGGCACAGTGGGACTCCTCACAACCATGTATATGTATATGGAAGCGCAGGCGGTCCACATCCAAAAATCCGAGCCACAAGACATAGCTGCAACCACACCAAGAATCAAGCGACAAAACACGCACTACACGGAGTCAACCCCAACCATTCTCTATGCTCATACCCCTTCGCTTTAGCCATGCAA